ATAATTACATATTCATATTCCTTTTCTATTAAAAAGGCTGTAAATCTGTCAAAAAAGTCCGGAGTCAAAGTGACAATCATTTATGAGGTCATCATACTATTTCTGATGTAAACGGTCTTTTTTATTGGTTTAATGGTGATGTGAAGAAAATAACTATTAATTGTTGGAAAAGAATAAATCCTATAAAACTTTTCAATATTTTGAGAAGGTATAAATCATGGATTGACTCGCAAAGAAAAAACAGCCACAGAGGCAGGTGACTGATATGGCTTAATCCAAAAAAGTTTAAAAGACGTGGCGGATATAACACGTCTTGTATTTGGTAACACATTTCAAGGCGAAGATGCGAGGTGAAAAGGCTCTTCCTAGTATATTGTTTTTAAAGTTTACCAGACCCTATTCAGCCACTGGTATAACTTCCGGTGGGAAATCTCGCTTATCGGAGGCATCGATAGCTACTTTCGACAATTCACATTTTGTGGTGTCTCCCTTATTTAGGGTTGATCTTGATATGCAAAATATACATAATTAAGAAAATAATATTTTTTGATTTTTTGAAATTGAATAATTATATTCAATTCCAATTCTTCATTAAAATTAATGTGTTGTATTATCAATAATAAAATACAAAAATATATGATAAACAAATATTCTGATTTGTGGTTTTAAAAATCACAATTCTGTATATCAGCATCATTATTATAAATAAAATGTTTATTTTTTCAAATAAATTCGTACGTTATACCAGATTAAAAGGCAATAATAATTGAAAACGACTTATACAAAATCATCGTTAAGAATTATTATATCAACAATTTGTTAAAATGTTGTTTATTTAAAATGTTATTATTTAATGAATAAATCATAAATTAACATTTTAACACAAAGTCTGTTTTCTATATAACAATATACTAAAAATATAACAAAGAAAAAAGAACTAGACCGAAAACACTAAACTATTTTTTTACTATACTCAATATCGCCAATTAAAAATCATTAACTATTAATAAGAATGTCATTAATGACTAATAATAAACGAATTCAAAACATTGACTTGTTTTATATCACTTGTTGTCGTTTTCAATTTGACTCAAATGATAATTTAACATGTATGCTCGATCATAAATGACTTTAATTGATTTTGAATAATTTGGTTGACTCGTTTATTTCGTTGTATTCAAATTTTAACGCCAACTTATCATTCGTTTTGGCTTTATAAATTTTTCAGTTGTTCAGAAATTCTGTTTTTTGATATTATTAGCACACTTTAAAAAAAGAACAAAAATAATAAAATACAAACTGTATTGTAGAAAGACCATTTTACAGTAAAAATTCTATCCGTGTGTGGTTTTGACCAACCAAATAAGCCCACACACCTATGGAATATAATGATTTCTCACATATTTGGCACCAAAACCTTCTAAAATAATGTCAATTGCAATTTTGTTTTTATTTTAAGAGAGTAAAGACTTGGTAATAAAACTTAAAAAGAGAAAAATTATCAAACAAAA